AACTACATTTTTCAATGCATAATAATTTTGTTCATTTGCGTTTCGAGAGAATAGATGTCTATTGTTGTAATAGATTCTAGAGGAACCAAAGTCATTACATTCGTAATACCACTTGATGTGAACAGTAGAGCCAACATGTCCTTTCGTCCTCTGCGAAGGTAGTGAAATCCACTTGAACCCGTCTGTTGGACACAATATTTGTATTTAATTTAAGATAAATAAAGGACTTGATTTTGAATGATTTCAATTGCATTGCAAAATGTCAACTGTCACATCATATCCAAATCCAGATAAAACTATATGAATCTTTTTCTTGCATCACAGCTATATAAATTTAGGAACACAAGCAATCGAGAAAAACTATATGTTTTTTCTTTTTCTTGCATCAACACCAATGGTGAAGAGCAGGGTGCAGAAATACCGCAGTTTTCTTTTTTCTTTTTTTTTTGCTGAGAACTTTTGCTCTATGCCAATTAAGATTGTTTTGTAATAGATTCTGAAATTACATCGATTCTATGTCAGGGGAAGCCTGTTGAAAAGACTGTTTGAAGTGCTTGATGCCATTTGGTTTCCAAATTTAAAACGTAGTGTGGTCTATTAGGAAATCCAGAACCAAATGTCTATCGAGAGCTAATTTAAGGATGAATTACTTTTGTTTCTAACTTCAACATACCTGACAAGTTCATATACGATTGAAGGCAGACAACAGTAAAAATGAGGCGGAAGGTCAGCGGATAATAATTCATCCTCTTTAATCTTTGATACAAAAAGGCAAGATTCGATGTATGTATGTCTTTAGGAGGTGGGGAAGAAATTTATCCAGTAAATAAACTCATGAGATAACGAAGAAAAGGATAATACTAAAAAAAAGTATAAATTGATAAATACTAATAAAAAAACATGTAGGGTACTATTTAAAAAATGCAATAATAATCTTAAATAAAAATATATTTATCAAGTAAACAATACTGATACATAGAATGAAATACCTAATAAATCAAATACAACATAAAACATATTAACCTTTTTGATCAGGAGCCTTTGTCGTATCGTTTGCTTTGTTCCTTTTTCGAAACAGCAACTTCACCGCAAACTTATTTGAATAAAAAAGCGAAAATCATGACTGCATGGAAATCCTTGACAATTCAAGATTTTTTGTAGAGTGATACCGTAAAAAGATACCCTTTCGGAAAACTTGGATCCAACATGGAGTTTGACTAGCTAAATTACAGTAATGGTATGAACACCCGAATTCGAAAAAGATTTATTATATATTATCAATTGATACAGACGTTTTTCTTTATTTATGGCACCCAAACACCAGTCATAATCTAAACCACAATTCGAAACAGCTCCCACGTGCTTTTATTTGTACTTTTATTATTGTTTTGTTTTTTGTTTTGTTTGTTTTTGATTTTTTTTTTGTTTTTTTTTGTTGACGTAATATGTATGGTGACATAAAAACCCATCTGTTTATTTTAATTGTGATTCATTGTCTCTTAATTCGTACAATACGGCTTTTTTCTTATAAGCTACACCTATTACAGTTGAGCTGTCATTTGATCTAAAAATAAATAAATAAAATAAAAGAAAATAAAAAAATACTGTTATTCGTTGCGAGGTTGAGAAAAAAACTAGGTTGAGTTGGGTTGCAATGCATTTTGGGGCTGTTTTAGGGGACGATCGGAATAGACGCCATATTTGAAATATATTCCCTAAAACAGTCCTAAAATTCATTGCAGTTTTTCCCTCAACTTCGACCCAGCTTTTCTCTCGACCTCGGAATGGCTAATAATACGTGATAGGACAATTTCAGTATTTTTAAATAAAACCGCTGACACAACTCCTTGGTATGCATGTAAAATCGGACATCTAATTTGATAAGATTAACGGCATTTTCAAAACACTTCCAAACGTAATGCAATTTCTTGTATATACAGTAAAAGTAGTCATAGTCAACTAACTGCAGAAGGAATAAGACACACTGAATCATCTATAAACTCCAGCAATATAATCATTTGGATATACAAACACTCGCAAAGTGTACACCTATTGCAAAAAAGGAAACCTTGTCGGTCCAATATCTGAAATGTGTGATCTGAGTCTAAATATAATTTTTGCTTTATTGTTTCCTGGCTAAAATGAGAAAAATTGCATTTCTAACTCGTGCATCCTTATGCAAATTTCCCGTCTCAGTTTGCTTAACCGTTTAGAGACTTTGTAGTTTTGGGAGAGCAGATGATGATCACTTCAGCTATGTCACCCAACAGCAGTTATTTAGACCTAGTATACTTGGGCTTGTACAAACAAAGAATGTTCTGGTTATCAGTGTATACGCGATCCTATTGTTGAGTTATGAATTTTTTGAACGTGACTTTTTTCATGCTTTTGTTATGGGGCGGACATGGCATTTACTATTATGTATGAGCTAGTTCTATGGACTAAACTCCTTTGCTTGAAAAACAAAATTATCAAAGAATTGAATTCACCCGGCGTCTCAATTCATTCATTCCTTCAATGTGGAATAGGTCAAGGTATAAGTGGTTATCATGATCACGTTACATTCCAAGTAATAAATGCACGATATTCTCATTTCTGAGATGTTTTATTGCTTTGATTAACCAGAACTAACATTAAATTTTCTTCAGGGAATTCTGCTATTGAAATGTTGATTTTAAGGGACATACTATTTAGCTCTTCCATTTAACACAACAGAGTCCAAGCACTTGTGTGCAATGTCTGTAATAGCCGTATCCATCCGGACAACCAGCAGCCATAAACCAGTAATCTCCATTGTGGCCATTGCACACACATCCCTCTGCCCTTTCCTCTAGCTTGTCATCTGGTGATGAAGAATCATCAAGGGAGAAGAAATGTTTATTGAGACGATTTTTCTAACATATATGCACGAAAAACGCGTATAAAGTATGAAAGGAAAATGGAAAAAAAAAAAAAAAAAGGAACGAAAAAAAAATTATATATAAAACAAAAACAAATTTTATGTAGAATATTCATGTATTGAAGGGAACATCCTTGAATTTTAATATTGCTTGTATCGTTGAGAAGTTGTGCATTCTTTACTTTAACGTCGGTATTCCGACACTAAAAACTATGAGGCAAAACCGAAGTGTAATTAAGGAACACAGCAGTATAGTACGACTTCAAAAATGATATATTCTAACGCGTCTCTCTGATTTTTAATATTTTATTAATTCATCCCACCCCGGAATTATTTCAGTTCGCCATTATTTCAATCATTATAAAATAACTGTTATGAATGTCGCGTTCTGATTGGTTTGGAGCGCGTGGTTTATGACAGCACATTGCACGCGCGCGCACTTTCCGTTGCGTCATTCCTATATATCATTGTAATTTGTATTTTATAAAAGCAATAAAAAACTTACTTGCTGTGCTGTTTGCAGTCATAAAGCACTTGGGGGTTGGCAGAACACTCGAGACCAGAGTTGGCAGAACACTCGAGCTACGCGTCGTGCTTCTCCTAACACTTCTCTCGTGTTCTGCCAACCCCCGCGTGCGTTATGACAGCACACAGCACGCGCGCGCGTTTTCTATCTCTTCAATAAATCATTTTCACTTCAAAAACAAACACTATTTAAATCCAAAATACTTATATATATTTCAAGCACGAAATTTGTGTAATTTAATCAAACGATAAATCAGGTTTCTTTTCTTCATCATTTACAATTTATCTGACTTAAAAAATATAACTCCTAAAGACAAGGCCTGTTCCGGTTTCTCAAACTTCTTAATAATTCATATCTTCAACGAGGAATCAGAACATGGTTTTATAGGAAAAGCTGTTTGATTGATAACGTTACGTTTATTCGTCATATATAAATTATAGTATGGAACAACACGAAAAAAACATCGCTGACTGCCGATTTATTTTAGTAGTTTTCGGAAGACATTTGTCATATTTCTGTGAGTAGTTTTCTTGTTTAGTTGGTGTTTTAATTGGAAAGAAACATTCAACAACATTCAAGTTGGTTTCTGGGTTACGTTATGAACTCAAAAACACACGGTAATATTGAGTTAGACGCGTTCAGTTTGCGTATTATCTAAAGTCGACAGAAAGAAGAACATAAATAGACAGATTACCTTACACAAAACTCCATATATACCTATATAAAATTTCATCTGGAAGCTTATGATTGTAAGAATCGATATTTTAGTGTCAGTGCAATAGGCGACTTGCACTAAGAAGTCACGTGATCAAATCGGCCATTGTGGCTGGCATTCTACAGGTTTTTAGCTACGTAAGAATTTTAAAAAAGATGGCGATTCAGGTGGGGTTTTTTTTGGTGATAAAAGGTAAGTTAGCGCACTAAATAACAATTAAAATCCACTTTCTTGCAAGAAATATATTTTAGTAGGTATCTAAAGTAATAATAAGATATAACTAGCTAAAACCTAGTGTGAGCTGCGTCGGTGTTTCTAATGAAACAGTAATGATGAAAAGGTAAATTATACACCGTGAAAAGATGAAAAAACTTACTGACGTTTCGGACGCAGAAACAATAAGAGTGAAAGGAACGTTCGCCCAGCACTCCCACTTTGTTACGCTTAGCTGAACTTGTTCTTACTCTTAATTGTTTTTCTTTCGGTGATCGGCATTATCGGCAGGTAAACGGTGTTGCTATGGGTACTAAGATGGGCCCTAGTTATGCCATTTTGTTTGTTGGTTATATCGAAAACCTTGTTTTTCAACAATATACTGGACCTAAACCTGAGTTTTTTGGACGGTATATTGATGATTGTATTGGTG